GAATTTAAAGACATTGCGTCTCTGTTATAACAAACTTGAGACACTCCCAGTTGAGATAGGAGAGCTGTCCGGTTCATTGCAATTTCTGGACTTAAGAGGCAATAACATTTTAGAGGAAGGAGATGGAAAAAGGACTCTGGGCAAGAAAGAACTGAGAGAGATATTTGAAGATCGTGTTGTGTTTGATGGAGTATCTCACAAGGATGATAGTGAGTCAATTATTGAATAAATCAATTTACAAGCTTAATGTAGTTCTTTCTCTTCAATTCGTGCTTTGGATGTAGGAGTGTGTCTTTACTACAGTAAGTCCTCAAGCATGTCTCGAAGATTCTTTAGTTTGTTCATATCCTTCTATCCTAGTCTTCTGGGACCTTCTTGGGCACTGAAGCCGTTCCTCTTCAGATGGGCTATGTGCTCGTAAAATGCCCTCAGGAGCATTTTGTAATACAGGATAAGAGCCGTAGTTGGCGGAAAGCGTGAGACAAGCAAAAGCACAGAGTGGTAGGATGTGGCGATTCTTTTGAGGACTGAGTTGGTTATGGCCAGTTCAAATACAGGAAACTAGCTTTGAGGCTTGTTGTCTTTCTCTGGAGACAAGCCAGTGAGTACATGGTAGTATCTCCACCAGTTCTTGTTTGGCAATAAACATTTTAGGTACTGCCCTTGGGTGCAGTGGCTGGCATGACTCTTCCAGACAACAGCTGGGATACATAAGTCGTGTTTACCAATGCCAAGAACCACAGACTAAATCAGTAGTAGCAGTCTCAAAGAACATTGTGTAGAGGATAAAGGTTGAGGAGGCATTAAAGTGCTGTATAAACTACATTAGCATTAAAGATCATTTAATCAGTTACTGGCATCCAATCCATCTGACTCACCAGGTCTGTCTCAACAAGCTCGATGCCTGCTTCTTTCAGTTTCTCTTTCACATCGCTAAGCGGAAGACTCATATCTACCACCTCTTTCTGGACCACTAAGGTTTGTAGATTTGGGAAAACTTCTTTAATTCTTGCATCAATCTTTGATACAGGATTTCTAGACAGGTCTAGACACGTCAAGTTTGGCATAGTTCTGTATGTACCTGTGTCAGCATCAAAGTAGCTTTGAAAACTGACATGCTCAGTTTGTTTATCACTCCAGCAGAGACTTTTAAGACCAGCGAGGTTATATAAGCATGGTACCTCTGCTAGCCCAACATCAATCAAAGACAACACTGTTATATTGCAGAGATCTGTGCTGTTCAGTGCAGCAATGTCAACAGTCGTTTTTTCTATCCACAACTCTTCAGTTTCACAGTGATTAGTGAGAAACTTCCATGCCTTGATTGGAATATGATGAAATTCAAAATCTGATACCGAGATTAGATAAAGTTTGGATCTTGATAAGTGGGGATCCCATAGAAATTTCTCAGCTTCTTGAATGGCTTCCTCTTTTGGACTACCATCTTCATTTAAAAATCCACATTTCATATGCATGCAGTGA